GGGGGGGGGTCATTTTATCAAATCTTCTTCTTTCTGTTGGGTTAGTGTGTCCCACTCAACAGGGGTTGACGCTGGCATCTAAGGTAGAAGCAGCCCGCCTCTTTATAATCTAAATTGAGTCGATAGGGATGTAAACCTTTTCTAACCAATCAACCAGTTTTCTTCATTCTCCCTTCGTGTACTCAGAAAAAGTTTTAAGATGGTAGTGCTGGGATATACAAAGTTAGCATCATAGACAGGTTGCAAGTTCCCCTCATGCCCCCCCCCCCTTTCATTATTATGGATCGGTCGTTTTCTCAGAGTGATATCGATTAATTGAAAATGAAAATAAATATGAATACGATTTGCCCGCAAGCTAAGGTAACTTGTAGCTTACATTACAAGCCACAGATCTATTTAAAAACTATTTCAATGTGCGACATTTAACATATTTTCGTCTTTCAGCTGGAACGCTGGCTTATCTTTGAACGAAGTCCTTCGTGAACGTTGCAGTTTTCTTTTAATGAAATTTATGTAAATGTGTCACAGATCCTTACGAAATTCGCGTCTTGGAGTTAAAAAAAAGAAAATTTATTTAATAGTGCCACAGGTCCTTAAAAAAAATTGTGTCTGGGATGTTTCAAAAAGACAAAGCAGAGGGGGAGGAATGACTTACTCTGCAGTTTGGGCGGGTGGTATCGGGTACACTGTAGCCACTGGTATTTGGGCGTCTCCTGTTCTCTGGGCGGAGAGGAGAACTCTCCCTGGAATATCAAACTGCTTTGTTCATGCCCATGTCCAGCAGGACCAGAATCGTCCACGTCTATCGTTTCGTCATCGTCGTCGAGATCGTCTTCATCGCCATTGAAATCTGCGTCGTAGGCAGAGTGGGATTCCCGAGAAAACTCCCTGGTAGCTCTGTCTGAGGGGGTGAGTCCTGAGCCTCGAGAAGAATTCAGCCCAAGTATTCTTTCTATAGAAAATGTCAACTCGGGTTTTTTCAACAGTTTTGGGGATGGCGGTGTTGTTGCAGAGTGCTCACCTACAGCATTTCCGAGGACGCACGAGTTGTTCGAATCTACAGAGGTGATGGTCTCCCCTGTTTGAGCGTCCCAGCTGTGCCGGGGCGAGGGTTGGCCGGGGGGAAGGGATGACATGGTCAGGTTCAGAGGCGAGAAGTTGTTGTAGGATTGACGCTCGCTGCTGATGTCCTCGGAGAACCGCTGAATGGCATTGGAAATATCCGGGTTTCGTAGTGAGAAGAAAACACTTTTGTTTATATTCGCAAACATTCTTGAGTTGATTCAGACTTTTGCATTGTATTCGCCCAGTAGATCTATGCAAAAACTGAAATGTTTCATTTTACCTGGCACGCTTGTGTCTAGTTGAAAGGCGTATGCTCATGTGAACGTTTTTTTTTTGGGGGGGGGGGGGGGGTCAAAACACAGTCCTCGAATCTAAAATTAAATTATTGTGTTATCAAAATAGATGTGTCCAGCAAGTCAAGATAACAAATAGTTTGTGATCGGAGAAGAGTATCTTAAACAAGAAAGAATTGTGACTTTCCGTTTAAAAAAAACAACGAAGTTCAAGAATGAAAATATGTCCAAAGAATTATTGTACCCGCATTAGTTTTATACTGACATCACAGCATAAAGCATTCAGTCACAACACAACAGACTGTTATCACCAAATAACACGATCTCGAGTAAGTAACAACCAAGAGTTTATTACTAGAGCAACTTTGTTTGGTTCCAGAGACTATGTGACTGCTCTCTACTCCGTTAACTCTCAGAATAAAGTCGCCTTATTCCTACCCCCGGCCAGTTTTATTTACGTTTTGAACCAGCTCTCCATTACGCATTTATCGCCGTGTGCAAGTTTCCAGCAAAGGCAACATTATCCAGTCACAAGTCAATAGTCTCTAACTACGATAGTGATATATAGGAGATGGAACTATTTGACTCTGAGGGAGCTTGCTGGCATCTCTAGTCACCAGATCACTCCCAGAAGTCGCGGCTGTCAGAACAGCGGGAGATCACACCACGTGCTGTCGTTCCTGTGCTCTGATTGGTTGTTGATGAGACAGGTAAGGCGTGGGGCGCGTGCTGAGGGCGGGGCCCAGGTGTGGTGTCCACTGTCCCCGGCGTCGACCAACAGCGTCACGGCGTCACGGCGTCACGGGTGATGATGTCGCCGGCCTGGATGTGGTTCGTCTGAGTTCTCTCCCTTTGTCGACGTTCGACGATAGGCATCTTCTAAGCACCACTGTCCAGGGAGCTTGTTAGTCGTAGGGCTATCTCGGGGGGAACGGTGTGAACGGTGTGTGTGTGTGTGTGTGTGTGTGTGTGTGTGTGTGTGAGCGCGTGCGTGCGAGTTTGTTTATGAGAATGTATGTTTGTTAGTGTAGTCTAGACCTAGTGTAATCTAGCCCGCACAGATGTGTGTATGTGTGTGTATATGTGAACGTGCGTGAGAGTGTATGTGTGCCTGTGAGTATAAGTGTGTGTATGTGTGAGTGTTTTTGATTTGGACCGTATATGAAGGTACATTTGTGAGGGTAAGGATGGAGTGGGGTTGAGGTGTGGAAAGAATTTAGTATGTGAATGGGGAAAGTGCGTTTTCGCACCTTTAAAGAACCAAAACACACACACGCACACACACACACACACACACACACACACACACACACACACACACACACACACACACACACACACATACACCCTCATTAATAGTTTATGAGTCAGAGAAAAGGACCCGGAAGCTGTACAGGCTTAATTTGAAAAAAAAAGGGGAATATCATAGGACTGGTAAGTATGAGGAAAACAGAATCGTTCGGACATCACCTTATCAACAATTCTATTTCATCCTCACAAAAAATAATTATGCCAATTCATCTTTTAAGTTGTTTTCTAAAAGTTAAAAAACAAACAAAACAAAACAAAAACATGACCAAATGGTTTTGATTTAATGAGAATTCAATCGTCTTATTTAACACCCTTTCGTAACGTACGCTCGTCACGAAGCCAAGAATTGTATACTGGTATACCACTATTTTTGTTGTTAACTCCCCTGTGTACTGGCAAATTGCGCACATGGATTCCAACCAACAGGGAGGAAATGGAAGTTGTGCGCATTTCTAACCGTCTGGTTACCACGTTTAGAATCTATAGTTGTCATCACATCTTGACCTCGGAAATATCTTTCTACTCGTTTCTATGCATTTGTGTAGTGTGTATGTGAGTCTGTACGTGTGGGAGAATAATAATATATATGTTTGTTTCGATTTTGGATTTTTATCTACGAGGTTACATGTATGTGCGAGGGCACGGATGGATTGGGGTGTGGATGTGGAAAGCATATCGGGTGTGGATGTGGAAAGAGCGTGTTTGTGCCTGTTTAGAACCAAATACATACACACACACACAAACACACACACACACACACACACACACACACACACACACACACACACACACACACACACACACACACATAGTCACAGACACATGCATGCATGCGCACACGATACGTGCACCAGAGTTCCCGACTTTTCAAGTATCCCTTCCCAATACCCATCCCCCCCCCCCCCCAACAAAAACAAAGACAAATCAGAACAAAAACAGCAGCAGCAGCAGCAACAACAACAAAACAAGCAAGCAAACAATCAGGCAAATAAACAAACAAACAAACAAACAAACAAACAAATACACGATACAATCTGACCAATCTCTTCAAACACCTTTCCCCTCCACCTCCACCCCCCCCACCTTCCTTCCCTACAAACATCAAACACTATACACACGCTCCCACTCACGCTTCTCATCAATTCCCGCCCTGGCTCGTCTAACCTGAGGCGACTAGACCAAGAGTTAATAACAATAATGATATGCTAACAAATTCAATTATCCTTCGTAACTCCCCAAGTCACATACATCACCCCGTGTGGTGGTGCTTCACATCTGTTCTAAGAAGCTAATACCACTTTACAAGGTGTACAGGGGCATAGGACAGCCAAGGACTCACCAGGAACCCCCCAAAAAAAAAACAACAACCCCAAAACAACAACAACAACAACCAACTTTAAAAAACCCAAAAAACTATGCCCCAACCAAAAAGACCCTCAACAAAACTCTGTGACGAGGTTATTTAGTTTATATGGGTCTTTTGTAGACTGTTTTTAAAAAAATTGCCTTTTTGTCGAATTTTCAAAGGTAAAACCTCATAATAAGAGACAAAACTATTAAAAACGATGTCAAAAGTCAAGGTTTTGTTTTTCCTACTTAGACAACGAATAACAATTGTCCAAATTGCATTCACCTGAAGATATTAGTTTCAGGAAATCGTTCAGTTTTTCGATTTGCTTTTTTAAAAACCTTTTACCCTAATTTGTCCTTTCTTTCTTTTCTTTTTCTTTTTGTTTGGTTTTGGCAATGATTTATCCCTGGTTTTCCCAGGCTAACATACTTGCACATAATATACTCTAACACACATACACATACAAATGCATACACACACAAACACATGAAAACATATTTAATAAAATTATTAATAATACAATTGAATTTCAAGGACTTTCGCTCCATTGAAGTATCTGTTGATCTAGATTATAAAGATTCGTGTATAATAATCGGTTAAAGTCTACTTGAGCTGCCCTCTCCCAACTTCCACCCATTGTTAAAATAAGTTTAAAACATCTTTCTTACATAACGTCTCGTCGACCCACATGAGACCCCCGCAGAATACCCACCCTGGATGTGCATTACAGGTCAAGTAAGTTCTAAATGGAGGGCTCAAGTAGACCTTTACGTAATGAATCTTGATCGTTAGAACACCATTGTGACAGTCCTTTTTGGTCCATGCACTATTTTTTTACCTCCTCCTCCCCCCCCCTTTCATTATGCCCATCCTCCGCCACCACCCACTCCTCCTCAAACCGTCCTTCTTTCTTCCGTCGCTACCGGTTTTCCTGTGTTCATCTTCGCGATGATGATCCACAGAGCACGACCCTCTCGCCGTCCTCACCAAACCACGAACCTGGGCGGAGACGCCGAAAATTGTAGGTTTTCACCGAGCTCCTCCAGAATGAAATATCACCTCGCTTTGTGAAGCAGTGATAGACGGAGGAAAACTGGTAATTAGAGGCAAGAATAGCCGGCCGTTCTTCCTGGGCTGGGCGGACACGTTATGATGAGACTGCGTGAAACCAATTGGTGATGGGAGAGTAGGTCTCTCTCGGGCAAACATTGGGCTTTGATCTTCGCTGATAATGTAGGGTCATTGCAAGGCAGAAAGAGGGTCCATGTCAGAATGCAGATGTTGTGGTTCAAATCTTCTTATACTCGAAAGGCAGCACCATTTAGTTAAGAGGTATGAAGAAAATTGGATGATTTCTTTTTTAAAATGGAGTCTTATAAAGTACTTTATTACGAAACAAATGAAAGCTGTAGGTATCCTTTGTTTTGTACTTATGTTTGGTCACGTTGGGGGGGGGGGGGGGGCATGAATGTAATAATTCACCTTAGTCGTGCTCTTGAACAAATGAAGATATTAGGACGGGAGTTTTTGTTTCAGTAACGTTATACTGTATACGCAGCGGCTAAATTTTTGTATCTCACGCCTTCCCTATCCTTCCTGGTATGACACTGGTAGTCTAGTGGTCGTGAGTTCAAACCTCGTCAGGGGTCCGACATTGTGTCCTTAGGAAAGGCGCTTTAAACGAACTTTCCTCACCTCACACTGGTGGGAATGGGTACTCGGCTATAGACAGCGAAAGATTTTGTCAGTTCGTTAATGTCTGAGCGCTTAATCGACTGCTTACAATGTATTCTTCCTGGGAAGCCGAGCTTTTTAATTTTAAAAAATTGTTTTAGAGTCAGCTGGGATAATATAAGAGCTAGCATTACTTCTGACGTAAACATAAGACAAACCAAAAGTCTACCTT